CAGAAATTTCACTTTACCAAACCGTAGTGATGGACAGTTCAATGTATAACTTGAATCAAGCAAAGTACAAATCCATGATGCCACCCTACAGTAAGGATGCTGGGATCAAAAGGAACCTGGAGATCTTTGTGTCTCTCCATCATCTCCAGTTACAGCCCAGATGCCCCAACAAGACTGGATGTTAAATTTTCAGACAGCTCAGTTTCAGCAAGGTGAAATTCATCCCATGTGACTAAACAGTGAGTGCTTCTATACAATTAAAGAACAGGTTTGATTTTTCTTCTGAGCCTGAAATGAGTATAATTTCCCATATACAAAAAAGGCAAATAACATAATTACACACAGAAGAAAAAGAGTCTGTGTATTACATATGTTTGCTGTAACACTTGTGTGGTTATTTACTACATCTAGGCATGTTGTGAACATGTAAATGAAGCTGGACCAATTTCATACTGACACAAGCAGTGAAATGACTACCTATTCCTATCAACAATGTTATTTATATCAACAACATGAATGATTAATGGATTTGCATAGAGCTAGTAAGTTATAGCCCTATGACCTCACAGAGCTTCCTAGATTTAGGAATATTTTTGTCAAAGTTCCTCTGACAGTGTCTGTTTGTCTCACCTATTGAATTTTACTCACATTCTTTCAGATTTAAAATACTACACTTCCAAAATTTAAAATAAAAATTAGGAGTCCTAAGGCAATGTGTGTGTTCAAATCTCAAATTGCATCTCAAAATTTCAAGACTTTTTAGTATAATATTTTCTTAAACTGTTCGGGACTTTTTTTTCAGTGAATTAAGAACTGGTAAATTGCAGTGCCCAGGAGGTCCACTAGAGGAATAAATTCTGTCTGAAAAGAGATTAAAGTGACTGACTAACCATAATTTCAAGCCAGTATATGAGGCCAATTCAAAACAAGAAAATTTAAGATGCAGAATCCCGCCTGTGGTAGGAAAGTTACTACTCATTAGGGGGCATTAACATTCACAATCTACCCACGACAGCAAAATGCTGCAAACTTTAAAGCAAACTATTAGAAAGGTTACCAAAACAAAGCTTACACATTAAACTTGGAAAAGTAAGATTATAAATAAATGCTACGCTTTTCCTTATCTAAAAGAAGCACTCATACAACTGAAAATGCAACTTGGTTTTTAAATTATCCTTTCTCAGATCTCTTCAGAGAAAAGGACATGGCAAGGCCACTCTGGCACATGGTGCTTTGTGATTAGAAGCCTGTGTCTGGACTGCTGGAGTGGCAGGCCTGGCCAGGAGCAACGGGAATCTCTGCTGAGGTGGGTGGGAATGGCTCTTTGTACAGCACTGCCTCTGCCTGAGGCACTCGCTGTGGGGATTGCAGGATTAAATGGCTTGGGACGCTGCTCTCTCTTAGTTAAAATGTCTCTAACACCCTGGAGGGCTGAAAAAAATTGTGCCTGAAATGACTGGGATAGAGAGCAAACAGAGAAAATGCTAAAATATCCTCAGAAGCCGTATCAATTTCTGATCTGAAAAGCAGTATTTGCTGGTACGTTTAGGAACATGACCAGAAATTCTGTGCTGCGTGTGACAGTGCAGGTGTCCCAGCACGGGGCAGAGGCCCAGCACAGCACGGCGCAGCAGCAGGCAGGCCTGGAGGCTTTTATCTCCACAGGAGTCCCAGGCAGCTGACAAACAGAGCTCTCTCACACCACCTGAGGCTGTGCGAGGGTCTTGACCTGCCCCCCTTCTTCTAGTAAAGGCTACATTTCCAAGAGGCATCACTGAATGGTCACTTTCCTTTCTATCCTGCCTCCCTGAGGCCTCCAGTGCTTTTTCCTATTCCTGCTGCCCAGGAAGATCACCCCTTGTGTCACAGCAGTGGCCATGGCCATCTGAGGCTATCTGAGCCAGAGTTCACCCACCCTGCACAGGACAGAAAAGGATCTAGCTCAGTACTTCTCCTACCTAGCAGAAAAACCTGCCGTAGAGCACCCTGGGCCAAAGACCCGAGTACTTTTCCTTAACTCTGTGAGCACTGTACACTGCTGAAGGCTGAGGAGCTCACTCTTCAGCCCTGCACAGCTGCCATCAGGAGCGCTTCTGCAGCACAGCAGAGAGAGCAGGGAGAGAACAGGCCACTTGTCCCAGCAGGTCACTGGGGATGCCTGTGTCCTCTTCAGTGTCAGCTTCTGGGGTGGGCTCTTCCCTGCTCTGCAAATCTTCTGGACTTGACAGATGAGTCCTCCCACAGGGACTTTTTTGCCCAGCCTCTGGCTTGTTCTGTGAGTTACAATCTCTCTCCAACTCCTTCTACTCAGCTGTCTACTACATTGTCCCCACACTAAAATCAGACCCTTCCCCACAGCATTCCAGAACCACACCCAGCTCTTCATTCTTGCATAGTTCTCCCAAGTCTTCAGCTTGGTTCCTCCTACAAATCTCTTTTTAATGTCTTGCTTTGTCATTCCTCTTACTCTGGCCTATGAAAAGACACTCGTTTTTTTTTTTGTTTTTTTTTTTTTGCCAGTTCTCTGCAAAATTGATAAAATTTGTTTTCCCATTCAGATTTCCTTACTGTTCCCAGGTGCTTCCATAGGAATAGACAACAGCTGAATGACTAACAGTATTGCTGGTCCAGGAGAAATATGATGGAGTACAGTTCAAGGTGGATTTGCAGTGCACATTTTTCATGACAATTTTAGAAAATTGCAGAATATAGAATTTGTTGAGACATCAAACCTGGGGATGGAGGCAGGTACCCCTAAGTCATGAAAACTACTGTATTTAGTGGCACAATGGACCTAAGATGTCTCAAGGTTCAGCTGAAAATACTGGCCTGTGACCAAGGCTCAGCTATTAAAATTAATTGTTAGGACTTGTTACTGCAAACAAGTCTCTTCTGCCACTTAGCAGAAGAGAAAGAACTGAACACTAGTGTGAGCATTAATGAATTCCGTGTAGCGAAGTTGTTTCAGTCTGAGGCTGTTGGAGCTCTCTTTAGTCCTTACCCAAGATGCACCATCTGCCACTGACCACTACTTAAATGTTTTAGCATCATGCTTTCTGCTTTTGTGGAAAGAGGTTTCTTTATCAGGTATCCTTGAAAGCTAACTATTGTGAGCTCATATGCTGCCTACAAAGAGGGAAACATCTATACATATTTATGTTACAGAGCTACCAGGTAAGTTGAAAAGCTATTGTAAACTCACATTTACACATACACAATAAATATTATGCACATGTAGATGTTTGTTGTAGGTGTGCATATATATGTGTGTGTACATATAAAAGGAACAACCTAATATAAAAACTAAGCCTGCTCTATTATGGTCTGAACTGATCTGAAGTCTGGACTGGTAGTAAAGATCACTTTACTTACGTATTTTTTCTTCTTTTGAATTTTTGGGAAGTTCCTCATGGTACACAAACCTACAGAGTTATGTGAGCACCAGAACACTGCTCATTTATGGACCATCATTGTTTTTTGGGATGGGGGTTATGTTTCTTGCTCAGTTATTTTTCCTCAGTGACAGTGTCAAAGCCCATGAGGAGATCCTAAGTGCCATGGCAATACAAATCTCAGTGATATTTATGAATGAACTTGTACACTTAGGAATGTTTGGCTACTTCTCAAACAATTTCTGCTTCCCATAAGTTTTATCTGTGTAGGTACAAGACAACAAGAGTGCCCCTGCTCCTTACCTTAGTAGGAGCTGTGATTGTCCTTTGCGCAAGGTGGCAGCAAAAGAAAGCTCTTCCAGCTCCTTCCTCTCTCCCCTGCATACCTCCTGTTAAGGAGAGCAACTCCTTCAATTTTATTAATTCTGTTTTAAAAACCAACTGTTGCTAGTGGTTAATACATGTCAGAACAATACATGGAGTTACTGATATCTTTTACTTTGGGAACACTGTCACACTTCCCTCTCCATTTCTTTACCAGTATTCCCCTGGGGGAAAGCTAGAAAACTGAATGCAAGGAAAGGAAAACCATGGGACAAATCCCCCTTAAATCACTGATTTTCCCTTTCTGATTTTATTTTTAAAACAGGGTATTTTTCCAATGAAGACACAATGGCTTTGGGAGAGAGGATCAAGTCCAAGAAAAATAAAATAAAATAAAATAAATAAAATAAAATAAAATAAAATAAAATAAAATAAAATAAAATAAAATAAAATAAAATAAATGTTAAGCATAATTAAGACATTATCACATGTCGAATTGTGACAAATTGTGATGGAAGTCTCAGTGGTACACCATGTTTCAGCATAATAATTTGGTTTTTCAATAGGAATAAGTAGTCTGGAGAATCTGACTACTGAAGTCCCCATCAGCAGCTAGATGAAATAAAAGTGTGGAGTCCACCCTGCTAGTTCTCCTGACCCTAATCAACATTTGCTGTTTGCATATTTTTGGACGGGATTTTTAATTGCTTGTTGGTCCAGGAAAAAGATTTATTTCATTTTCCTGAAGCCCAAAATGTGTTGAATGGAATGTTTTACTGCAAATATTAGAGTTGATGAAGCTACTTTAAGGTTCATTAAGCCTCAAAATACTCCTAACACATATCCCCCATATGGAACAAAACCTGGGGTGAATATTTAATAACCTTCACAGATTTGGCTCTGTTAAAGTCAATAGAAGTAGTAAGAATAGCAGTAAGACTGTGCTTATTTTGAAAAACCAGGGATTACTCACCTTGGAAGTACAATATAGTAAATATGTTCTTTATTCTAGAGGCATGGTAAAAGAATAGCCAGTCAACTTTGGATATGAACATTCTCTACAACCTTAAAGCTTGTTTTGATGACCATAACCTTATTCCAAAACCACCATGTTTAATAAAAATTACTTCCAGAACTTGAAGAATATTTTATTATGGAATACAAAAATACTATCTATGTAAAAACAATAAGTTAGTTTATTTACAATACTTTACACTATCCTGCTCTGGGGCTTCCTTTGCACTGGACTTCTCGTCATTATTTTACACACCTTTATAATTATAATTATAATTTTGCACAAAGCATTTCCAAAAGCATGTCATCCATGTTCACTGCTCCAATGATGGGCCTGAAGAATAATTCAGCAACCACATTAGCATTGATAGATCTCAACAAGGAGAGAACAACATTCAGCTTGGCAAATCTGGCTTCATCACCTCTGTGAATGAGTCTGACGTGTTCATTTAGAGCTTGTTGTGCTTCCCTCTGCAAACCTTCAATGTACTGTGTACACTGCAGCCCAGGTAGATCTGAAAAGAAAAAGAAATTATTTTGTTTACATATTTTTGTTTATAAAACAACATTATTCTTACAGAACAACTCCTAACAGCTCACAGACTGTGGTTATCACTCAAGGAAAAAAGCAAATTAAATTGCTAGAGGAATTCTTGTATGCAAAGTCAACATGCCAAATTTCATTGGGCAGGTCAGACTCTTATCATACTGGTGTTCTGGATATTTAATACTCTTCTTCACAAACCTAAAACATCATGTTTGTCAACATTCACTTAGGTGTTAAACAAATTAGTTGCTAAAAACTTTGATTGAAGAATGCTCTCCAAGACACCATTACAGTGGGGAAGACAACAAAAATAACTTTTTAATTTTCCACTTCTACAAAAATGCACTGTTTACATTTAAGGCTTCTTTTGACTACTGTTTCTACTCCAGTTTATAAGTGGCAAGAAGTACTGACTCCAACATGAGACAGGAAGTTTCCCAATGAACCACAGTAAGGATACTGAAAGATGGAAGGTGCAGAATTAAGGCTATGTGTGACCATAGAATCAATTTGGGTGGAAAAACCTCCAAGATCACTGAGCCCAATCATTAACCTAACACTGTCAGGTCCATCACTAAACCATGTTCCTGAGCAACATAACTACACATTTTTGAACACTTTCCGGGATGGTGATTGAACCACTTCCCTGGAAAGCCTCTTCCAGTGCTTGACCACCCTTTCAGAGAAGAAATTTTTCCTTCCAGAACAATTCCTCTATTTTTTTTGCATTTGACCAGCTTACAAATTTGACTTGTGTAGCATAAGCTCCGCCTTAACTATTGTAACTTTTTCTCTCTTATCTGTATAGAAAGCAAAGCTACAAAAGCAGGGTGATAAACGTAAAGTACCACTACAGGAACCTAACCATCAATAACAAACCTAACAGTTCGGCAGTGGGAACGCCAGCAGAGCCCTGTCCCATTTTCACAGGGTACTGCCATACTTGGGAAGTGCCATACCCAGTCTGTCCCATTTTCACAGGGTAGTGCCATACTCGGGAAGTGCCATAACCAGCCTGTCCCAGTTTCACAGGGTACTGCCATACTTGGGAAGTGCCATACCCAGTCTGCCAGCTACCTTTCAGGTCAGTCACCGACGTGATAGTAAGTCACTCGGCAGAGCTGCATCAGTGGGAATCTCCACAAAGCGAGATGGCAAAAAAACCACCCCGATCATAAATGCTATACCGAAAGCCACAAGAACACTTTGTTGCTGTTAGCCCTGAGCCTTCCCTCGCTCTGCGGGGCGCGCAGACCCCCGGGCAGGGCACGGGAAGAGCCGCTACCCTCGGGCCGTGGAGCGGAGGTCCCGCCGTTCCCGCTGAGGGAAACGAGCAAGGAGCCGCTGCTGTCTCCCAGCCTTTTCTAACCGACTACCAGGCGCCTGGAATTCGCTTTGTTCGCGGAAAGCATCTGTGGAAAGCGCCAGCCCTCAGGACCCCAGACCGAGCTGCCGCCGGACCCCCTCCCTGCCTGCGGCCGGGGTCTCGAGGAAGGGGCAGAAGGTGAAACCTTGCTCCGCGTCCCTCTCCCCCAGCACCTTTTTCACCCCGAGGAAAGCCGCGGGTCTCCCAGCTCCCCTGGGGATGCAGGCGGGTTCTCCCCGCCCTCCTCCCTGCCCTGTGCCAGAGACCCCGCTGCCCCGCCCGGCCACTCACCCGGGTTGAAGAGCACCGTCCCCTTGAGGTAAGCGTACTCTTTGGTGCTGATGTCCAGGCTCCAGCACTTGGCCAGGAAGCCTTTGATAGCCTGGATCTCGCCGGCCGAGGGCAGGTGCGGGCCGTGGTGCGGCCGGCCCGGTGCCGGTGCCCGCGGCGGGGGCTGCTCGCCGTGCTGCCGGGCGGTGAGGATGCGCTGCAGCATGCTGGGCTCCGCGCTCTCCACCGTCTCCAGGTGCACCCGGTCCTGCGCCAGCCCCAGCAGCAGCAGGGGCGCCCAGCAGCTGCGGACCAGCAGCAGCTGCTCCTCCAGCGGCAGCTCCTGGAAGCAGGGCACGTTCTGGACGAAGCGCAGCGTCTTCACCAGCACGGCCGAGGCCGCCTTGCAAGCCACCTGCGGGCTCCGCAGGGCCACCCGCCGCCGCGACCCGCACGGGCAGCCCCGGGGCGCGGGCCCGGCCGGCGGCACCGCCCGCTCCTCGCTGCGGAGGATGCTGTAGAGGATGCTGCTGTGCCGCCGGCCCTCCGCGCAGCAGCGGCAGCCGCGCTCCGCGCACGCCATGTCCGGGCTGAGCCGCCGGGGAGGCTCGGCGGGGCGGTCCCTGCCTCCTGGTCCCGCCGGCAGGCGCGCACCGCTCACCCTCTGCCCGGCTCCTTAACTTATTTATAGTCGGCGGGGGTGTGTGCGTGTCTGTGTGTGTGTGTGTGTGTGTGTGCAGCCGCAGGCGCTGTACCGGCCGTGCAAAGGGGCAGACACTCGTTAGTGGCTGGAAAAGAGGCGGGGGGAGGAGGGGAGGTGAAAAATATAACCAAACCCTCCTCCTCCTTCCCTGAGGCTGTGATACCCGGGGGGAGCCTCTGCCCGCAGGTTGCGGCGTGATCAATGGCAAATTTCAGCTTCCTCGCCCAGCGCGGGGCCGCGGGATGTCCTTCCCGGCCCCTCTTTCCGAGTCCCATCCCGGCTGATGTTATGCCGGGATGCTTCGAACAGAGCAGGGCAGGGCAGGGCAGGGCAGCTCGGTAGGGAGCAGCTCCCGCCCCCGTGGGACCCCACCGAGAAATGACAACCGGCCCCCCTGCCTTCATAAGCACCCGAGTGGTCTGGGGGAGGAGAGAGAAAGGATGTATTGGTGAAGAAAGGAGTGCTGAATTGGTCCAAATAATTAAATTCCCGCCGGAGGCGAAAAAGGTGACACCACTAATGACATCGAGGACTTTTGTGTATGCCTGCCCTAAGGAGTGATGCCTTGTGTGCCAAATGAACTCCACATGCCATGCGGGGAGGGAGAATCGGCCATGTCCCTGCCCAAATGGGTGCTCTGTGAGGGTTGCAAACAAGGCTCTGTCAGGGTGCCCTGAGGCTGGTGCCGCTGCACCACCCGCTGGGATCCCCCGTGGAACCACTCTCATTAATAGTTCCCTTGCTCTGCCTTTCAACACCTGCCCATCCTTCTGATGTCATGTTGTTCCATACATTTACATTATCCCTTCAGCCTCTGCTTCTCCACGAATCTCTCCTCTTAGATACTTACTTCTCTGTGACCCATGTCCTCCAAGTGGCATATGAACTCCAAAGCAAGGAAGCCTCCCATCCCTCCAGGCCTTGATGTTTACACAGGAGGGGAATCATGGTTGTCAGATATGGATTCTTGAATGATAAATAAGCACCTTCTCGGCTGGGCTAAATAAAAGTGGGTGCAGCACAGCGGAGTAAATAAACAATACAGAAAATAAAGTTGCTTCTATCTGCTGCATATGGGCTAAAACAGAAACATTTTCTGTTTCATGTGATCTGGAAGAACCTTGACAGAGAGTTAGAGAAAGTAGCCAGTTTTAAGCAAAATTCTGTACCTTCTCTCACAGTATCTGCTACCAAGAGAAGACTAAATCACCCTTGGAAAGCTGTATTTTCTTTCCATAAAGAAAATTCATTTCTGCTGTTGTTGTGGTTTGGGTTTGGGGGGTTTTTTGTTTGTTTGGGGTTTTTTTGGTTTTTTTTGGTTGGTTGGTTAAGTTTGTTTGGTTTTTCTAAGCAAATACCATTAACTGCTTTGGATTTTTTTAGAAACAAAACAATTTTGGGTTGGATCTTGGCATTTTCTTTTCCCTGTGAAGTCAGTCCTACGCTATCAGCTTACACAGTTATAGAGTCATATAGTCTTTTCCTTCTAAGTCTTTCTTCACAATTGGACTCAGAGGGGATATTCTTTACAAATGGCTTTTACAAATTACTTGTGCTTTTTGTAAGGCATTTTTCTATAAAGTTATATAAAACACTGATGGGCTACGTGTCTCAAGTAAACCTTGTTTTCCAAATGCAAGCTGTCCAAAACCTAAATTATCATACTTTTGGTTTTACCTGTGAAATGCATTTTCTTTTCCACAGGCTCAAACATGATAAAGTCCTTTATTGGCTTTGCAGTAGAAGAGAACTGCTACAGTGCACCAATTAAGTGATGTCTGTTTGCTGACAGGTCAGTGGTTTCACCAAACATCCTTTAAGAAAGAAAATATGCTAGATTTACAAAACAAATGTACTATTACTAAATATTACCAAATTTTTCATTTGGATAGTATTGCTGGTAATGGGAAAACAGACATTTATTTTTCTAGAATATTTCTTTGCCATTGTAGGTTGTTTCCTGTTATAGCCATCAGTGTTTCCTCAGTATTCAGATTTTAGATGGTTTCTTTCAGCCTTTTTAGTCTTTTTCCTTTTTAGTTTTTTTTTTGGGGAGGGGTTGTTCACTAGCTTCAGAGGTGAGTCTTGCCAATCTTTAGAAAAAGCGCATCACTAAGCTTTTAGTTTTCTTCAGTAGCATTTCTCCTATGAGGTACATATTAGTAGTCTGACCATGGAATCTAGATGTGTTTTTTATGTGTTTGTAACTTGGAAAATATCAATGGGAAAGCACAGTGCAGCTGAGACCAGAATCATTGCCTTTGCAGCTTTGACCTTGGACTCCAACTGTGGGAATGTTCTGCTTATTATGGGAGGATGCTGCTTACACAGGGCTATAGACAAAGAAAATATTTGTAAATATAACTTTTATACCAAGTCTACAATAGATTTTTTTTCCCCTGTGTAGCAATATTGGTTGCAGGTGTTTAATTTTTTAAGGTATTTCTTTTTCAAACAAGACTCAAATGTAGATGCAATTCATCTGTTATATAATGATTTTGCTGACTCTTCATTTTCTAAACAAACTTATACAAAAAGACTTTGTCTTTGATAATTATAACAAAATGTGTACCCCACACTGGAACCAAAACTTGGTTTACTATTCAGTGCCAGAAATCACATTGCTGCAGTTATAAGTGCACTTCCTTCTCTGACAAATGCATGTAAACACCCTCTCATTCTAATTCTTAATGTACTTTGATATACATGGAAGTTTATTTTATTCAGGGTAGATCATCTATTTCTCAGCTAAAACATTAAGAATATCCTGTAAATATTTATTTGTGTTTTTCATGTTGGTATTTAGCAATTTGTACAGTCTTTATTTAAAAATCTGGGTTCTGCCTGTCCATAGCATTCAAGCTAAATTAACAACAAAGCATTTTATTCACTACCAAAACCAAAATCCCTAACAGAAACCAAACTGTTTGATGCAAAATGCATGAAAACCCTTTTAGAATGAAGGGAAAGTGCCTGGCTTCTGCTGGAGGATCTGATGTCACATGGGTATTACCAAGCTCCTTGCAGTACAGTCATGAATAGGTTTACAAGCTTCCAGACAAAGGATTACTTGTTTGTATTGTTTGGGGCTTTTTCGGATTGCTTTTGTTTTGGGTTGGTTTTGTGTTTGTGTGTGTGTGTGTGTGTGGTTACAGGGTTTTTTTTTTAACGCAGACAAAGCCTTGGATATGGAGGTGATACAGTGCAGTCTTGGCAGCCTCACTCTCTCATGTTGCTGCTCAGTGTCTCTGTATCACTCATCTGGTAGCACATTTGGTTCTTGGCCAGAGGGCAAGACTTCAGTTTCAGAACAAGACCAAACAAGCATTTGTTTTTATGCCATCAGTGCTTCAATGTACCATTAGCTTGAGAAAAGCTTTTTTCCAGTGTAGAATTTGATCCTGATGTCCTATAAATGCACACTATTCCTTTTAGTGTAAGTGGTGAAAAATAAAATTTTATTTTAAGATCAGAAAAAGCAGAATCAATTTGAGCATAAGAGAAGTTAATTTTTCTCTACAGAAAAACAAAGTTTAATGTGGAATATTGTTATAAGGATATGATAAGCAGTATGTCTTTTGTAAAAATAAATGCTTTATTAAAACAAGATTTTGGAATTTAAGCATATTGCTGTTTTTCATTCTTTTTTCATTGTGACTATCCATTAGTTAGACTGTTCACCATTCACATTTCCCCTGTTTTTTCTGGGCTGTTTTTTGAAATAAATGGGGATTAAGGGAAAAGTAGTTCTACCTATGTGCTGCACCACACACTCCCGATGGCACTATTGTCCCCTTCCTGCATGGGCAATGGATTCCTGAGGAGGAGAATACTGAGAGCCTGAGCCAAAGATAGTTGAGGTGGACCCAGGTGAGAGATGATGACCAGAATTCCCAGAGCTTTTTCAGCTTCCCTAAGACTGTGATTTGACAGTTTTTCTGTATCCCACCACCAGCTCACCTGGTGCTTGTTCTGGAGCAGGATGAGAATACGGTGACATTTTTATGGAATTAGCCAGAGTAAATAAAAAGGAGTTTATTCCAGGTTTAGACCTTCCTGCCAGCTGCTTGAAAGCAGATGATGTCTAATCTGGTATAAATTGTAATGGTGCCAAATCAGCCTTTTAACATTTCTTAAAGGAACCGGAACATGCAAAAGGAAATACATTGTTGTTGTTGTTGTTGTTGTTGTTGTTGTTGTTGTTGTTGTTGTTGTTGTCAAATCAGTTCTTTGTAAAATGTGGCCATGGCAGTTTGGATGCAGAAATAGCAGCTCTGAATTTCAATTTACTCTTATTGTACCATGTACTCCACTGTCATATTTCCACTGACAGATAGCAAATTTAAGGAAGCCTCACATACCCCAGGCCTGGCCTTTTCTCCTTGTACCCATATGTTAATTTGTCTTACCTAATGCTAGGTTATTATGTTAGAGTCAACCAGGTTTTGGGGTAGGCAAAATTAGGGAAAGAAGCAAACTTGCAAACTTTTTACAGTGAAAGACACTCAGTTGTTTCACATTAAAAAAAGATTAATTGATCTTTGGGGTCTGTAAAGGGCTGTGGGCCCCATCAATCCAAAACTGTACATTTAGATATGCTATTGGGGTTTCAGTGTTTACATATAAGTAAGAAGTTATATTTTGGCCCAAAGTGGGTTCATGGGGCTCCCAAACATCTGTCAGTGTGCAATGCTTCAGGATGCAGTGCCCTAATCCCTCCTGAGCCAATCTGTCAGCTCACTGGAGCTGAGAGGTGCCTCCCACAGAAGTGTTGCTGTTGCTGCTTTCCTTGCCCCAACCCTGGCACACACCTGATCTTTTGGTGAACCAAATCTTCTTTCTAACCTGGTAGCATTTTTGTGACAGCCATTATAAGAAAA